CGCAGCGAGCGGCGAGCTTTTTTGACAACTTTTTTCGGCGCGCCGCTCCACCTCTCGCTATTAGATGATGCCCCACTGTTGCCTGCCGAGTCCGGCCTGCCGCCTTCTACGCTCTCATTCGCTCAGACATTAAAATTAATTTCTCAATAACTACTGCGAATTTTGCAAAATAGTATAGGACTTTTCTATTCAGTTTACCCCGGTCTATCTACCATCTACGGGACATACAGGTATTAGAACACACCCTGTATAACAAGATTGTTTCCATTGTTTCCCGGATTGGTTACGGTTGCACTCGGTAATCCATCTCTCGTGGTAAAAGGTTGGGACAGCTTTAATGATTCACCTTGTACTTTGTCTCACAATTTATCGATAAGAAGCATATCATGTTCGTTCGACATGCAAGTCGCCAGGTACGCGAATGTACAATACGAATTGGAGAGCCACATTTGAAGGGCTTGAAGGGTTTGTAGCGAGAAACGAACGTACGGCGACTGCTAACCAACCCGTAACAACCCCTTGAGAATTTTTTCGAATGAAACGTCCGCGATACAACTGCGAGAGGATAAACGAAGGTACGGCGCGTACACATATAATATCTCACTCATTCTCGGCGGCATGAATATTCGAGTTCGTGAATCACTCACGAACTTGCGTGGCGTTTCATTTCCTGCGCGCCAGCTGTTTCCACCATATACGGTCATTAACGGGTATAAAGGGGACGGAAAAAAAAGTCGGGTGCGGGAGTCGGGTGCGCCAGTGGTGGTAGCTCGGCACGTGAACGTGGGGGGATGTATAATAACGCGGTACGTACATATCTGTTGCGCGTCGCTCGCTGTTGCGCAGGGTTGTCCAGGGGCGAAGTGCGAGGCTCGCGTCGCCGCTCGCAGGCGGAGAGAAAATCGGGGAGAATTCAGGCATGCAAACTGCGCGTGTCTAACAACGTGTTCTTTCAAATACTCGACTTTTTACCATCGTTTCAGGAGCGCGCGCGCGCATCATTAGGTTGTCGCAATTAAAATGCCAGCTCCTAACCATTCTATTTCTTACATATCCTAGGCTTTCTTTTGCAACAAGTTAAGACTATTTTATAAATAGTTGATTGAGAAATTTGTTAAATTTGTCGAAGAAATTGTCGAAAGTCGTACGCGAAACTGTCACGTTTTCGACACCTGTGCCAGCGATATTTCGAGAATTCAATTAGCGTCCAATTCTGCCGATTTATAAAATGGATGACGTTAAAACTACTTGGTTAATAACGGTTAGAATGGGCAGTTTTTAAATGTAAATTTTGTGTAGTAAAATTTAGATTAATTCATCTAATCGTCGTTCAATTCTCACGTATACGTACCCGGATAGCCTAATCTGTCAGGGCAGATCTCGTCAAATGCCCACTACAAATTTTGAAGGCAGAAAAGACTGCAGATTGCATACAGGAACTGATATTCGATATGGTGCCAGCATCCCTACCGGAAATAATTCTACAAAATTCTACAAAAAAATTAAATATAACTTCCAGACTCTAAGAAATTCAACGTAAATTTTAAGTGTTATAAAAATCAACATGGAAACGCTAGAATTGGAATACTTTTATTAATTTTGGTAACATTCTACAGGTAAGCACATGTTTTAAGATTTTCGACTTTTACCACCTCTACAACACAAAAACTTATATCTCGACGACGATCTTTCAATCTACAGCAGCTAATAAATCCGAAAAAAATGGCTCACACTTTACAGCTGTTATGATTTGCGTAGCGAGCGATTTTTATCTTTTTATCTTTTGACTTTATATTTAAATTATATTTTATACTCTATTTATTTTATACACTGAAGATGGCCTAGAGAAAGGCCGAAACGTTTGTACTTTTATGTTTTAAATATATGAGAATTTTATTATTGTGACACTAACACCTAGTCAAGGCTCTTAGCCCTTTTATTCATTGATTGTTTTAAGATTTTGTTGTTTCTCAAATTTTGAAAACTAGTAAAGTTTTGTA